AATTGTTCCTTGTGTAGCCCAGGTGAGCATTTAAATGGTTTTTAATGAATTTCGGATGCTTGGCCCATCTTAAAAGATTTCTAGAACTTCGGGTACTTTGCCGTTTAGCTCTCTCACTGTATTATTCCACAATATTTTGGACGAATGCGATGTATTGTCGAGCGCCGATACCTACCAGATACATGGCTACGCTCCATTTACCACGTCAGGGCTCATGTGGCGGATTCGTTTATGTAAATGTTTGCAGTGAGCTACAATTTGACTCTGAAGACCTACCTGCCTTCATATCCCGACGTTCCGGAAAACAAGAATTTGACTCTTGAAGGTGAAGTCGAAATAATGGTTGAAGTGCATAAAGCAATCAACCAAATCGTTCTTCACATGGAACGTCTAGAATTAATCGAAGAGAAGTGCGAAGTGTTGCTGGAACCTCAAGGAGACTCGGTATGTGCACATGAAAGCGGACGCCCCACGTTTGCGCGCAATAAAATAACTCCGCGCCGTGCGAATAGCAAGAATTTTGTGTCGTTGTTTTATATCTGAGAAGAGTATAAGTTCAGGAACATAGGCGGTATACCGTAACCCTCTCGACGTTGGGCGTTGGCACTGGGGCGCGCAATGTCACGTGTCATCGATTTTCCATGTGTGCTCGCCTCCCACTTCTCGTTTTCTCTGCGCTCTCTCAACGAGGAGAGAATGCGTCGAGCAAACTCGCCAACTATACTAAGCGCACTTAATGAAGAAGGCGGAGAATAGCACGCACACCGGCTTGGCCCTCACGTAGGATAAAGCGGACGCTGCGACGCCGCTCGATTTTTCGATTGCTATCCAGAGAGCCAGGGTGGCCTCAGCGATTGCAGTCGCTCGCACCGTAACGCTAGGGTTGCGAGCTGGAAGCCTGCAACTGCGCCCCGGTGCCAACGCAGGTTACGGTATGCATCCTGTTTTCGTAAACTTATAATCTGTATCTAGGTTTAGAGTGTTCAATAAGACCACGCACAGCATATTCTCCTAGTATGAAGGTTTAGGACTAGGCCTCAGAAGGGAGGGAATTCCCGGGTTCGTGAGCAATCTTCGCTTTCTCGGGAAGGGATTTCCTCCCCCTTCCTAGGCTTAGTCCTAGCTGATCACTAGGTAAATATTACTTTTCATTGACGTTATGTTACAAAGCACAAGAACACATACATTATACAAACCAGAAGAAACAACGTAGGAAAGAAGCTAATAGCACTTCGTAACCTAAAGCAACAGTCCCAGCAGGGTGGGCGTGGTCGGAAACGGCTGCAATCCCCTCGGCCGATTCCCACTTCGGAGCTGTTCAGCCCCTAGTCAAGAACGTAAGAAGTGTGACTGAACAAAAACTCACCTTGGAAAGCCGCTAGGGAGGGAGCTGAAGTGGGCGTGGTCGGAATCGGCCGAGGGGATTGCAGTCGTTTCCGACCACGCCCACCCTGCTGGGACTGTTGCTTTAAAAGGACTCCCTGAGCCAAACTGGCATTGGAGCAGATCAATGCCCTGCCCCCTGACTGGAATAGACCCTATAGTCTTGTTTATACCTGCGCTTGGGCCATTTGCAGAAGGACCATGTCAGAATATTTCAGCAGTCCTGCAAATGTCCGAAGCTCAGAGGCGCAGACAAAAACAGAAAATGCGCTGTTTTAATAGCTCAAAATACGCGTGTTGTATCATTATGAAACAGTAAAACGTATCCTTCTAACATATCTAAAATTCAGTAATGAGGCGAAATTTCGGAGGTACCAATTTATGTTTTTTTTTAGAGTGAGCGAATCATACCCATTAGGGGTATTGAGCTGAACAATCACATTGAGGTTGGCGTCATTCGACTCACTGAAGTTATAAATGCAAACAGCAAACTCAAAATTAAAGTAAGCTCAGTTATATTGCATTTATAGTGTATTTCAATAAGTTGTGCCGTTTTTACTCCTGCAAGTTAGAATGTAAATATTTCACGTCAAACGAAACAGTTACAGTGGCATCGAGAATCTTCACAACTACACCCTTTTGCGAATAAGCTGACGGTTTAACTCATGCAGATGCTCAAATTGTTGAGATTTTGGAGACGCTAGTTCGCGAATATCATTACAGCATCAGATAAATTTCGACATTTCATATTTAAAGGAAGTGGTCACGGAAATTCTTATGGAGACGATAGGGAAAGTGACATAGTGGATTGGGTAGGGGCCTACCCAATGGGACGACAGGTGACGCTTCAGGGCAGTGGCGCCTTATCAACGGCGTGATAAGGCGCCGAAACCCACTTCCGGTTCGGCGTTGCACCTCCTTATCAGACGTGGAAGGCAGTAGCAGCGTGCTAGATATGATACGGTTATCGTTATCGTTCGATTTTCATGCTGGAGGGCACCTAACTTCGATGATAAGCGGTCGTATCTTCTTACCTAATCATATCTATCGTAGGGTTATCGTCCAGCCACTATCTACCTCTGACCAGGGTCAGTCCTATCGTTGTTACTTTTTCAAAATTTTTACGACCCCCCTCCCCCAAGGTGGATTTGGTACGACCCCCTTTTCGACCCTCGACCACCATATTCCTCTCTATAGTATTTAATTCTGGTAATTCTGATATTCTCGGTAG